TTTTTTTAAGACAGGGTCTTGCTCAGTTCCCTCGGCTAGAGTGCTGTTGCATCATCATAGTTCACTGAAACCTCAAACTCCTGGCCTCAAGTGATCCTCCTACTTTGGCCTCCCAAAGTGCTAGGATTACAGAGGCGTGAGCCACTGTGCCTGGCCCTTTTTGTTTTGTTTTAGAGACGGGGTCTATGTTGCCCAGGCTGGATCAAACTCCTGTTCTCAAGCAATCCTCCCACCTCAGCCTCCCAAGTAGCTGGGATTATTATAGGTGTGAGCCATTGAGCCTGGCCTAGTCAAATGATTTTTAACTTGTGCAAACTAAACAGAAAAAGATAAATGATGATAAGTAAGATGAAATACAAATTTTAGATGAGACAATTTCCTTACTTCAATTTGCCGAGGAGCCGATGTGAATTTTCTCCCCATCTTGTCCCTGGCAATAGCTACAAGTGTGGTTTGCCCAACAGTGATAGCTCGAAGGATATAATTTTCAGAGTATTCATCCTGTTTCTCCATTAGCCTGCAAAGACCCATGTGTTTTTAGGTGAGAAAGATTTGGTTTTGAGAGTGGCCAGTGATGCATCTTTCTGAGACGCTAAACATTTTCTGCTTATTTTAACTCTGGTTAGAGGGAACTGCCAGAAAATAAATTTTCAGAGTCAAGACAAATTTCATGGCAATGGCAGAAAGCTCCAGAAGGGTAAAAATTTGTTCTAAGGTTCCAAAGGAATAAAGGCAATATAAACATAGACTGGTAAAATTGCAAATAGTAAATTGTCTTGAAATTCTTGAATTTCTCCTTTCTTAGAGGGAAATACCAGTATCTCTGCTTCCAAACATATTTTTGAAGGCCCTCTTGCCTGAAACACACTAAGGACATCATCCAAGGAGAAGTTTCAGAAAATGGAAATATTAATGACATATATGATTTTAGCCCCCAAACAAGACATCTGAGGACCTCAAATGTGTATTTTTATTTTTAGAGGTGAGGTCTTGCCATGTCACCCAGGCTAGAGTGCAGTGGTTATATACAAGTGTGATGATAGTACACTATAGCCTCCTACTTTTTTTTTTTAAGAAACAGGGTCTCTCTGTCACCCAGGCTGGAGTGCAGTGGCATGATCATAGCTCATTGTAGCCTTCAACTCCTGGGCTCAAGTGATCTTTTTGCCTCAGCCCCTTGAGTAGCTGGGACTACAGGTATATACCACTGTGCCTGGCTCAAATAGGTATTTTGTAGAGAGCTGAATATGGAAAGAGAGTAAACGCTGAAAGGTACCGTGACAAAAAAGGAAAAGAGAAAATCTGAAATAACCTAAGGGAAAGCTGACCAGGCTACCAGGAGAGGAAGAGTCTCATGATGTTAAACACGGAAAGAAAGAAGTATTGAAAGAAGTACTCACGTCAGGGTGACAATGGCAGAAGCCGACTGCAGTTTGAGCTCCATGTTTCTGAAATATTTATTTCGGAATGGGCGTTTAGAAGAGCCGAGAACTCTCACAGTCACTAATACAGTTTTGCCAATCTCAACCTAGTAGTTTAAAAAAAAAGGAAAGAAAAGGTAGATTTTAGTAGAGGTGTCTCATTCACCAAGGGCAGTCTAACTCTTAGAGGGCAGCAAACATTTTTGTTCATGCTAAATGCTCTTGATTAGCCTTTAATCAAATAAGCCTAATCTATGTATATTATTTTAAGTTGTTCTTTAACACTCTATTTATCTTCATCTGTTTAGTGTTGGAATGCTGTTCTTTAAGGGCAAGTATTTCCATTTACATTACCAAAAGTCCTGGTATACACACATAGTAGCTGAACAGAGACTGTATTAAGTGATACTGGGGAGTGAGAATGAGGCTTGCTTCATTTTTGAGATAAAGCAAACATCTCTCACCTTATCAATAAGATCAAGTTCCAGCTCTTGTATGTCTGATATGCTGAGGTGGGCTGTTGCTGGACCCAAGAAAGCCAAGCAAAGATCATATACTTCCAAAGTGAGAGATCCAGGATGTACTGGAACTAACTAGAAGGAAAAAGATGGCAGCTAAGTAAAGAAGCAAACATGCTCCAAGAGTAATCATAGCAACTATTTTCATCCGAAGCAGAAAACATATCTTATGTTTATAGGTCATGTTACATGGTTACATATTTCAGGCATAGCACAATATGTACCCTTAATGTGATTTTCAGATCATGGCAAAATATATACCTTAGCAAATACTAACTGATAAAGAGCAAAATCTAAGTTGATTGAATTCAAGCAGAATTCAACATATATGTCCAGCTTGTTAATTATGCATAGGGAAAGGGTTTCATGAAGAAAATCACATCCATACATGCTTCAATTGCCAGCAGGGGGAGAAAGCATTAGGCCAACTAATACTTTGTTTTCTCTTTGTACTACAGCTCCTGCAGAACAGCATGTTTTTTCACATCCTTTTTCTGCATCTAGTGCCTCAGTCTTCTCTTTTTATTTTCTTTCTTTTCTTTTCTTTTTTTCTTTCCTTTTCTCTCTCTCTCTCTCTCTCTCTCTCTCTCTCTGTCTCTCTTCAGAGTCTTGTTTTGTCACCCAGGCTGCAGTGCAGTGGCGTGATCATAGCTCATTGCAGCCTCCAATTTCTGGGCTCAAGTGATCCTCCTGCCTCAACCTCTCGAGTAGCTAGGACTATAGGTGCATGCCACTATGTCCAGCTAATTTTTTAAAAAATTTTCTGTAGAGAAAGGGTCTTGCTACGTTGCCTAGGCTAGTCTTGAACTCCTGGCCTCAAGCAATCCTCCTGCCTCGGTCTCCCAATGTGCTGGGGTTACAGGCATGAGCCACTGCACCTGGCCCAGTCTTCCCTTTTTATAACAAATATTATTACTAAGGTAAGTTAAATTCCTTTGAGCTCTTAGAAGGATAGGAAATATATCTATATATTAATATAAGGCATTATATTTATTACTATAAGTCAACTAGAAACAAATCCTATGGCATACTGAGTATGAAGTCAGCTTAATATTTTTACTTGGCTGAAAATACCATATACTCAGGTTATAAAGTCAATGGTATATTTAAATATCTATACAGTTATGTGTTTTGAAATGTATAAAAATGAACCTTCTTTTAATAGAAATCTTCTAATTAGATGTCTCCAATACTGTCTCAGTACAACCAGAAGAAAAAACTGTCTGGTATTGTAACTAGCTGTAGAAAAAAAACCCCTCACTTTTGGTTGAGGAATCTATGTAGGTTAAAAAAAGAAAGAGAAGCAAATGTTACTTTTGTAACAAGTTTTAGACACTCAATGGAATTTTTCCAAACATTCTCTTAAGAATGAGCTTTGGCCTGAGATCACAATCCGGGAATATCTCTACAACTCACCTGGACAGAGCTTTCTGCTTCCATGTAAGTGATGACAACAATATCCAGCTCATTGCTGTTGACTGAAAAATAACCAGATCCTTCCACAAGGCTAAATATTTCCTATGGAGAAATCAGACATACAATATTCTATTCCCTTCTGTTTATAAATAACTCAAAGGAAATAACTTCTACCTACCTAAGAAAGAATATGGGATAAAAAATTAAGGTCAATGGACAAAAGACAAAATATCATTATTAAAGTACAATGCTTAGGATAGTGCAGCTAATTATTATATAGGTGTCATATACATGTATCAGTGATTTTCAACACATAAGTGAGGTTTTTTATTATTATACCATTAATTTTAATAACCTCCCCTCTAATATGATTCCATTTAACTAGACCCATGTAGCTTCTACCTTCACATCTGGGTGGTTATAGATGGTGGCATTCTCAGGCAATACAGTTACGTCATCCACCAGGAGCAGCTCCACAGCTGCAGATCTGGGTAAGTTGGAAATTTCCTAGAAATGTAATAAAACCACAAAGGTGAATATAAATTTCTAATTCCTCACCTCATGAGAGAAGATTCTAGTACTCTCTCAGGTGCCAAAAATAACAGAGTCACAGAAATGCATAGTTCTCAGATTTACATCAGTTGTAAACAAGTTTTAAAGAAGAGCCTTAAATTCTAATTACTTAATTTTTATTTCTTAAATCACAATCCCCACTCACTTTTGGGCTTTTCTTCTCTGAATAGCCCACAAAATTGACCCCAATGAGTACGGTTCCTTTTATCTGATGTACTTGAAGAATCTGATGACCTGGAAACATGCAGAAAAATACTCTATGAGAAAAAAAAACAAAAGTGTTTCTAGAAAACCAAATTATTCCCCAATTTTTCCAAATGGTGTTTTATTGTGGGGCAGAAAAACACTAAATGAGAAAATACACAAGAAATAGAAAACTAGGTTTTTGTGCTGACCCTGCCACTATATTCCTATATGATCCTGAGAAACTACTTTATCTCTCAGTTCCTTTATTAAATGAATGGGCCAGGCAAAATCTAAAATTCTTTCCAGCTTTGATGGTCTACGAGTCCAAAAATAGCCTGACAATAGCGTACAGGGAAATTTTTGTTGGATTTTCAAATGGAAGTGAGAAATAAAATGGATAGTCCTTTGGGACCTTTTACTCTTCTAAACTGTTCTGTATATGTAAATGTCCTATCAGTCACTTACTCAAAAATTTTAAACGGCGACTGTTCTTCCTTAAATCAATTCAAACTCCTTAAACTAGTATTTGAAGTCTTCCATAATCTAACACTGCTTTAATCATTTGACTTTCTTTCTCTCCCTCCCTTCTTCTTTCTTTTTTCTTCTCTCCTCTTTCTCTCTCTCATTTTTAGAGATAGGATCTCACTCTGTTGCTCAGGCTGGAGGACAGTGGCATGATCATAGCTCACTGCAGCCTTGAACTCCTAGGCTCAAGTGATCCTTCCACTTCAGGCTCCCGAGCAGTTGAGATGATAGGCATGTATTACCACGCCCAACTAATTTTTCTTATTTTTTGTAGAGATGAGGTCTTGCTATGTTGCCCAGGCTGGCCTCGAATTTCTGTTCTCAAGTGATTTTTCCGCCTTGGCCTCCCAAAGTGTTGGGATTACAGGCATGTGCCACCGTACCCAGCCAAAAAAGGATTTTAAGAGAAGTATTCAGACTTGAATAATAGTAAGATCACTCTGGACAGCAGTGTGGAAGATAGATAAGAGAGTAGCAGAGACACAATGAAATGTTAGGAGGCTACTATGGTAATGCAGGATAGAGGTGATAAGGACATTAGTGATGGAGTTGGAAAGGAAAAGATGAAACCAAAAAATATTCAGAAGGTAACACTAATGGTACTTGGTGATTGATTGTTAGAGGGTATAAGGGGCATCTCTTTCTTCTGTACCACTTTTTACACTAATTGTATCATACTATTGGTTTTAGGATTATGTTGTCACGTTCTCTAGCTAGGCTCTTAAACTTGCTCTGGGTGTAAGCTCCTTGTAAACAGGAAATAGATTAAATATCATTTCTCCTTCCCTAGCGTTCCCTATTCTATTGAGGTTCTACCATCTACCCAAATGCTCATGCCAGAAGCCTAAAAGTTAGCCTTTGAACCACTTTCTTCTTCATCCTTGGGATTTGTTTGTGGTAGACTGTCACATTAATGGTCCATGGTGAATCACGTCTACTGGTATCTATGCCTTTGTGTAGTCTCTGCCCACCTTGACTCTGGTTTTGGTCAGATGTCTTGCTTTAAGGAATGGGATACCAGCAAATGTGACACGAGCAGAGGATTGATGAGCACTTGCACATGAGGGCTTGTTGAACTTCTCCAACTTCTAATGCCTCTTGCCCCTTCTCCACGTCAGTCTCACTCATCTTCTTCAGCTCATTCTTGTTATTTTCTCTTCCTGCCACCCATTTGGGTCTCGGCATAAATGTTACTTTTTAGCAGTAGCTTTCTCTGTTCTAGACTAGGTTAGGTCCTCGTGTTATAAGCTCCCAAGGTACCCTATATTTGTCCTTCAAAGCACCTAACACAGTTGTAATGTTTCAAGTCTGGCTTCAAAAAAAATAAATAACTAAAGTCTGCCTTCCGCAAACAGATTGTCAGTATATGAGGGCAGAAGCCACGCCTGTCTCATTCACCATTATATCTCCACTGCCTAGCAGAGGGCCTTACATGTAGCAGCCATTCAATAAATATTTGCTAATAAATGGATATTTCCATAATATTAGGTAATAGGCAATTAATACATTTTAAAATTAATTAATTTTATTTTCTTATGAGAAATGTTGGACCCTAAACTCTAGCTTTATAAACAAGGAAATCTACCTTTATGTTTTCTAAAAAATACAAAGATCAAAGATGAAAGATGATATATGATAAAATCCAAAGCAAAACCCTCGCCTATAAGAAAATACTTAGTGTAGAACCATTTGGCAGGTATAGGAAAGAATTCAAAATTTTCACATTACCATGTAACCGGGTCTGCCCACCACCATCATCTTTAGCTACCATCTCCACTGACTTATAATCTTCAAAATGGGCTAGGGTTTCATTCGAGGATTTCCATTCTAGCATTAGTGAACTGAAATTGTCAAACTTTCTTCTGTGTTGGTCAAACACTGCCAGTTCCAGGACCGTGTCCCTTAGGCTTGATACAGGAATCTGCATTAAAATAAAAAATACTGAAAGAAAATTTTAAAAACCAGTAGCCTAAGAGGCAGCAGTAAGATATCCCTGAAGTTAGGGATCAAGTTTTCTCTCGATCTTTTTACTTTGACAATTTGCAGACCTATAGATGTAGTAAAAGAATAGTATAATAGTTACCTATATATACTTTACCTGGATTCACCAATTTTTTTTTTTTTTTTGAGACAGAGTCTCGCTCTGTTGCTCTGGCTAGAGTGCCGTGGCATCATCATAGCTCACTGCAATCTCAAACTTCTGGGCTCAAATGATCCTGCTGCCTCAACCTCGCAAATAGCTGGGACCACAGGTGCGCGCCACCATGCCCAGCTAATTTTTTCTATTTTTTGGGTAGAGACAGGGTCTTGTTCTTGCTCAGGCTGTGCGGGGAGTTTAGCTACGCTCCCCGCAAAAAATCGGGTCTTATCAACTCACGCTGGGTAACAGATTTAAACCTAAGGAGTGAAACTATTAGAATTCTAGAGGAGGATGTTGGAAATACTCTTCTAGACATTGGCCTAGGCAAAGAATTTATGAAGAAG